TTTGTGTGATTTACCAAATGAACTCAAGTTTCTGGATGGGTATCTATTTAATACTACTGATAGAGAAAAATAATCAATAACAAGGAAATGGCTTAATGGGGACCCACCAGCACTGAAACATTGATCAGCCACATAAAAGAAATATATGAAATGGAAATGCTTAGTTTTCATTTCCAGGCTCCCAGAACTTAAAACCCCAAACAAACCTCAAACAACCCCATATCATAACAATATGAAGTAATTTCCTTGTTTTTTAATTCTGTCTTCATTTAATATTCTTTGTGGTAAATGTAGTTTGGTGTTGGGAAGAATGGCAGAACTGATTGTGAGTCAAGTAGGTCATTGCCACCTTTTACCTTCCTGATAACTGAGTTCATTAATCCATGTTAGAAGGATGGTCCCAAGGGACGCCTTCCAGTCCTAATTTGTACTGATAGACCAACATCGGGGGTCCTCGTACTGAAAGCAAGTGTGTTTGAGCCAATGCCCCATCTCCTTCAGCATCTTAGCATTTTATCAAGGTTTATTGTAACCTGTTGCATTTCAGGGTTTTACTTTTTTTGATGCATCACTGTCTCCCTCTCTCAGTGACCCATGTGTTTGCTGTTCTACTAACTTCTATGTTGTGTTTTTCACAGTAATATAAAACTTTGATCAGTAAAGTTAAAAAAAGAAATAGTTTTGTTAAATATAAAACAAAAAAAACTTGGTCCAATTTAACTTCAGACAGTGAGAAAATATTTGTTTATTTTAATTCAGTGTATATAATTATCTGGTTTCAAATGTATCTAAATAGCAGTCTATTTTTGTTCCAGTATTCATAACCACAGACTTTCCCAAGGATCCAGCCGTCTTTCTATGAAGAGTGACTTATCCAAAGATGCTCCTCCAGACTTAAGTACCGACCAGGAACCATCAGAACAAAAGTAAGAGCACCTGATTTATTCCCCTGATCTTCATTGATTTTGCTGTTCATCAAGTCATTTCTATGCATTTCATTTCTTACAAACTTCACTTTTGTCTTGTTTCTTCTTTTGTTTTACTTAATTATTTTTAGGACCTTGGAATTTTCAATTTTCTCTCTTCTAACTTGGTTGGTCAAAAATCCAAACTTGTTTTCCCCCAAGCATAAGTTATTACACGAACATTTGATATTTGTCTTTCACTTCTGGTATTTATGAAGTTATCTCAGTCATTTAACATTTTATTCACCATCCAAACACCAGCTATGTTATTGGAGAAATTGAGCAAATGTAATATGTCCCCTATTAGAAATGCAGATGGGCATGTGCTAAGAAAATCAATCTTAAATTGTTAATATTGAATTTCATCTCTTTAGTCTCAGGACTGACTGAGCTACCAGCTATTTTCATAAGGACTTTTTGCACTGCAGAGCCCGGCCTTGGTCAGTCTGGCTGCCATTTTGTGCTCAGGATGTGTTTGCCTTGAGCAGATTGCCACATCAAAAGTAGCTGGTGATGGCCATCAAAAACAAATTCCTTCTGAAGCTGCCAATGTTATCTTCTCAGAGACCGGAAAAAAATGACCTCACCTTTCCCAATAACTGAATGAACAAAAAAATTTCATCTGAGCCGGGGTCGGTAACGGAACATTTTCAGTCTTTGAGCGTTTTTTAAATGGTATGGAAAAGTCTGAAGCCCAGCTGTCACTTTAATGGATTACAAATCAAACAGAACACATGGCGCAGATGCGCAGACATTTTGGACTTGCACATAGGGCAACATGGAGTTAACTAAATAAATCAATATAAAAGATTTCCATCTGAGTCTCATCTCTGAACTGGGCAATAAACTCCATGCATTCCCTCCTACCCTGAGGGTCAAATTAAACAATCACTGAAATCTGTCAGGTCCAGTTAGGAAGCACAGGATAAGTGCTCCTACGTCAAGATTTTAAAACCTTTCCTGCAAGATATTGAAGTCGCTCACTGACCTTACAGCAACATGGCAAATGCAGGACAAGATGGAAACACGAGAGAGAAGCAAGAAATATTCTCCAGACATGAAGATATTAACAAAGCAAACCAAAGGATTAAAAAAATCAAAGGGGGAATTTGCAGCGGAAACTAAGCTATACATGATCAAGATAATTGTGAGAAACATGCTAAAAACCCAAATTCAAAACAAAGACAAACTGGTCGACCAAGAAGCAAGGAAGAATATACAGACTTTTAATGTACCGGAGAATGAGGAATTAGGCAAATCGATGAATGAATATGCTGAAAAACGCAGAGAAACTGGACATTCCTGACTCCTGTGAACTCGGCATACAAATAACACATAGATCAGGGGTCCCCAAGGTGGGTCCTCGAGGGCAGGCATCCTGCATGTTTTAGTTCCCTCCCTGGTTTTACACACCTGCATCAAATTATGGCTCATTAGAGGCCTAAGAGGAACATTGACTTGCTGAGGACGTTGTTACTACCACCAGGGAGAAAACTAAAATATGCAGGATGCCTCCAGGACCGACCTTGGGCACCACTGGCATATAACCCGAAACCAACAGGAGCAGCAAAACCCAGATTGATTGAAGCCTAGTTCTTGCGGAACCGTACAGATTTACAACCCCCCGCGCACATTCACATCTCTTTTATTTTTTTTTTTTACATACGGCAACTGCAATTGTCTTTGCTGTGCTGAGCATTTTACTGGCAGAGCAGAATTGTAATCCTGACAGACGGGTTTGTAATGGATGCATTGAGCAGGCATGAAGCTGGGAGCGTGCACCAATCATACCTCTGACCTCTGCGCTTTGGCCGCCTAACCCTAAAACCTGAAACGGAAAATGACTTTAAAGCAGCACAAGTTCTGTGGTGTGATCCAGAGTACGTTGCAAAGCAGAAGGAGATTAAATGCAGTATGTTTACAAACATTCCATTACAGGGAATAATGAGATGTTATTGTGGACCTGGAAAATTATTGTTAAGTCTATTCTAACAGCATGGAAAGAAGCTGTAAAAACAAACCCTATAAAGAAATCAAGGTACTAAGCTGGTTATGACGAAACCATACCACAGAAGCTTTCTGCATTTTCCAAAATGTAAAAGATAATAAAATGGAAAACTTCAATACATTACAAAAAAGGTATAGTTTAGAAAAAAGTTTTTTTTTAATGTTTATTTTGACTACAAATAAGAAATTATTGTATCCGTGAAGTGAAACAAAACACAACCAATATAATCCACTGATTAAACTAAGATCTTATAAATCAAAACTCTCAGGAAAAATAATTTAGAAAATTATCAAACTTTAATACCTATTCGTCACAATATATATGACAGATAAATAGGAAAAGGAAGAAAGTCTTGTTATAACTTAGAAAAATGGGAACAAATATGTACATCACAAAGGAGGTCCACAGAATCTTATATTTGGAAATAATTTGGAAAAATTCATAATGCTATTTCATCACTCCACATCAAAGTGCCCATAGCAGATGCTGGAGAAATTGTGGATGTCAGAATGCACATAATTACCATATTTTCTGGGAATGTCATATTCTCAGAAAATATTGGAATGATACAAACTATGAGGTTAACCATATCTTTCACGTCTATTTTCAGTCAAATTTCAAAACCATGTTTCTGGGTTTTAAAATCCATAAAATGCAATCAACAGATGGATACCTTTGGGATAAACTAGTAGTGGCTGGAAAACTACAGTTGCAAAAAAATAGATGGTACAACCGCCCAACAATGGGTTCATTTTTTGGATAGAAGCAGATATTTCCAAATTGGAAGAAGTAACCTTCATATTCAGCTAAAGATAAACTAAAGGTAGAGGAGACATTTGAGGCATTGTTGCACTGCAGAACATCTTGGGCGATCACAAAGCAAACACAGCTCCTCCTCCACAGGCCAAGCTACCAGCCCACTAATGCTCTGGCCCACTATGAAAGACAGGCACAGGGTTTCCTCCAGAAAATCTGCTAAGTCCTATGGTCGGGGCGCTAGGACAGTTCACCAGCAGCCCACGGTGTTTTTGTATAAAAGAATGTTATGTGGATAGGAAATCTGTAAATATTACTGGGTAATTATTACTGGAGGACATTGTTGACAGTACTTAAACATACACCTATGATCTTAAAAACAACAAACAAAAAATAAAACTGTTATTAACATTCTAGAGATTCTAACGACCTCTAGCTATTTCAACCTTTCACTCAGAAACTCTGTGTCAAGAAGAGTTGAATGGTTGGAAGCAACAATTTTCAGAAATCTAGATTTGGATTAAATTTTATCGGGATTATGGGTCTGTGACTCCTTCCTGTGGTAATTAAGAGGCATTGGTGGGTGTACCTTAATACTTCCACTCAATGTTAAAACCGTTTAGGGAATTATAAGGAACAATAAAATGTGGGTTCTTTTTGTGAATTTGATTCTTTAGATTGCCTCTAGTGGAGGAGTTTCTCATCATCATCCAGTAGGAGTTATTTTACATGTAATCTGATTGTGTTGATCAGATCAACCCATTCCAAGTATTGTTGATCATAAAATTTCTTCACAGATGTAGGAAGAGAACTGGTGTCTGTGATAAAAAGGCACTTTCGTGTTTTAGTTTGTTTCAGGAGGTCACAAAAGATCTTGTCAAAAACAACTGTGGACACTGGAACCAGTTTGCTGTATCAGGACCCTCCTCCTGTGTCCAGTGTGGAAAACGACCCAGAACCACATTTTTACAAGGTGAGATATTTCTGTCCTTCTGTTTTAATTCAGAAATATGGTTATGTCGGTGTGCTGTGGTGGTGCAGGGGTTCAGCACAACCCACATATGGAGGCCTTAGTCCTTGACGCAGCTGTCGCAGGTTCAATTCCCTGCCTTGGCGACCTTTGCTGCATGTCTTCCCCCTTCTCTCATTACCCACTTTCCTGTAAATTAACTATCAAATAAAGGCCACTAGGACAAAAAAAAAACAAAAAAAAAAGAAATATGGTTATGTCAATCAGACATATCTTTCCATATCTTACCTGATATGGAAAAATTATACCATTTTTTAATATACAAGGATAAGAAGTCAATAAATTTACTGTTAATTATTATATGCTTTATAGCTCTTAAATCTTATTGTATTTTACACATTGTAAAATGTGTCGTGACTGTCTCATCTCGATTTTGGGTGTTGAATAAGTAGAAAGTGGCAAATGCTGATGCAAATCTTGTTACAAATGTTGGCTGGACGCCCTCAAAGGTTACATGGCTTTCAAAGCTGACTATCCATCCAACTATAAGTATCTCATTGCCCTAGGGGCAGAGAGAGGTGTTCTGTTGTATTTTTCCTCAAACATTTTATAGACTATACTTTGACTCATCAAAGCTGAATAAATTTAAGGTCAACATGACAAAGCTATTCTATAATTGCTTTGTAATTATGGTAAGCAGAGTGCCTTTTTTAGCGGGCCGTGTTCTGGCCAGGTCATTATTTGTGTTGGGCAATGCTCTCACTTCTGCTCTAGTTTAAAAACCTACAAAAATTCAGTGCTTCAAACCTGGACTAAATTATTATTCATTATTAGCATGCCATTTAAAGCCTACTTTGTGAACCATAAAACCTTTATTTAATTTGTGAAAGTTTCTTAAAAGGTCATATTTGTTCTTTTTTTGCACCTACACGTCACAGCTCCAGTCTGAAGAGCTGTCAAACTTTACCATCAACCTCGTCAGCAGATGTGTCTGATTCTGGCTCAAAGTCACACTTTTAATTGTACTTATTTACACAAATGACCATTCAGTCTCACATTCGCCAAGATATTGCTTCTGTAAAATAAAAAAAACAACAACAATTTACTGTGGAAATATTAAAAACCCAAAATCATGCAATATATGGTCAATTAGCATTTTCAAGGAAAAGTATAATGTGGTCTTAAAGGTTAAGGTTACCACTCGGCTCTAAAACTGTGATTTCTAAGCCTTGACAAGTTTTCATCATAAAATGAAATGCAATTTGATTAATATTAATAATTTCTATTAAACATAGCTTTTGTCAGTATTTCAAAGATATTAAAGAATGCAGTTGTCTAAACTTCCTTTATGAGCAGGATAAATCTTGGTCACAAAGTACTGCATTTTAAACATCTCTACCTCTTGAATAAGTTTATCAGTGGAGCAGCAGCTGGCCCTTTGGCCAATGCTCTAGCCTATTGGGGGGGAATTCATGAGAAAACACACTGACCTTAAGTGTGGATATCTGTACAGCAGGGGTAATCACTTCTAATCCTCAAGGACCAGTATCCTGCAACTTCTAAATGTGTCTCTACTTCAGTCTCATTCAACTATTACTACTGCTGATACTGAAGAGACAATTGTTGATTCAGGGACATGTGTAAAAGTTTTTGACACCAGGCCTTAAGGACTGGAACTGATGTGGGCAGGAAGAATCAGGTGATATGGCACAGAGTGCGACAGAGTTGCATAAATATAAGAAGAGTAAATGATGACTGAAAACAGATTTACTTTTTCTGAAAACAAGGTGACTGTTTTTATGTTTTTGTGTGTTTCAGCAGATGTTGGTCTGCAGCAGGTTCTAGAGGAACATAAGATCAGTCTGAGGAGGAGATGTGAATGTGTGACTGAAGGAAGTGATGAAACAGGAAGTAGAACCCTCCTCAACAGGATCTACACTGATCTCTACATCACAGAGGGATGGAGTGAAGAGGTTAATACCCAACATGAGGTGAAGCAGCTGGAGAGAGCTTCCAAGATCCAGAACCTCCATGACTCTCCAATCAGGTGCCATGACATCTTTAAATCCTTCCCTGACCAACATGGAGCCATCAGAGTGGTTCTGACCAACGGCGTCGCTGGTGTTGGAAAAACCTTCTCAGTGCAGAAGTTCACTCTGGACTGGGCCGAGGGCTTGGAGAACCAGGATGTCAGTGTGGTGGTTCTGCTGTCGTTCAGGGAGCTGAACCTGATCAGAGATCAGCAGCACAGTCTTCTCTCGCTGCTCCATGTTTTCCATCCAACACTCCAGAAGCTCCCAGCAGAGCAGCTGGCTGTCTGCAAACTGCTCTTCATCTTTGATGGCCTGGATGAAAGCAGACTTTCACTGGACTTCAGCAGCAGTCAGCTGGTTTCTGACGTCACACAGAAGTCATCAGTCAACGTTCTGCTGACAAACCTCATCAGGGGGAACCTGCTTCCCTCGGCTCTCATCTGGATAACTACCAGACCTGCAGCGGCCAATCAGATCCCTCCTTCATGTGTTTCCAGGGCAACAGAAGTACGAGGCTTCACCGACGCCCAGAAGGAGGAGTACTTCAGGAGGAGGTTCAGTGATGAAAAGCTGTCCAGCAGAATCATCTCCCACATCCAGACCTGCAGGAGCCTCCACATCATGTGTGGAATCCCAGTCTTCTGCTGGATCACTGCTACGGTTCTGGAGAACATGTTGACCTCAGAGCAGAGAGGAGAGCTGCCCAAGACCATGACTGACATGTACTCACACTTCCTGCTGGTCCAGACAAAGAGGAAGAAGAACAAGTACCATGGAGGACATGCAAGGACCTCACAGGAACTGACGAAGGCTGATAAGGAAGTTCTTCTGAAGCTGGGGAGGCTGGCGTTTGAACATCTGGAGAAAGGAAACATCATGTTCTACCAAGAAGACCTGGAGCAGTGTGGTCTGGATGTCACAGAGGCCTCAGTGTACTCAGGAGTTTGTACAGAGATCTTCAAAAGAGAGAATCTGATCTTCCAGAAACCAGTTTACTGCTTTGTTCACCTGAGCATCCAGGAGTTTCTGGCTGCAGTTTACTGTTACACCCAAAGGAACACTGAGTTGCTAAGAAGCTTTCTGGGAAAAAACAAATCCAAATCTCTGGATGACTTCCTGAACCAAATCATGGTGAAATCCCTCAGCAGTAAAAATGGCCACCTGGACCTGTTTGTTCGCTTCCTTCATGGCCTCACTGTGGAGTCCAACCAGAACCTTCTAGGATCCCTGGTGGGTCAGAGAAAGACTGGTCCAACAACTCGTCAGAAAATCATAAAAAATCTGAAGGAGATGAACACTGATAGAATCTCTCCTGACAGAAGCATCAACATCTTCCACTGCCTGGTGGAGATAAATGATCTCTCAGTTTATCAGGAGATCCAAAAGTTTCTCAAATCCAAGAAGAAATCAGAGAAGAAGCTCTCAGAGATCCAGTGTTCAGCTCTCGCCTACATGCTACAGATGTCAGAGGAGATTATGGATGAGTTGGACCTGAAAAAGTACAGTACATCAAACGAGGGGCGTCTGAGACTGATCCCAGCTGTAAGGAACTGCAGAAAGGCTCGGTGAGTCCATATTTATCCATCTACTAAATCTGTTGGAGGTTAGAAGATCAGTTTTTTAAAATTTGTTATAAATCATAAATATCAAGCTCCAGGCTGTGAATCACATCTACCCCACTATAGCACAGCATAATTTGAAAATTTAGTTATTAATGACTCCCAGTAGGCAAGAAAGTACTCAAAACAGATGCTCACTCCTTTTTCGTAGACTCCATTGCACCCGGCCCGGTTCACCAGTGTTTCCACTATGTTCCCATACTGCACAAATATGGGAAGTGTGGAAGCCCCTACTGTATCAAATCGATATAGGAATAACAGAGTTGACCACTTAAGGCAGAGGTTCCCAAACTGTGGGGCGCGCCCCCTAGGGGGGGCGCCATGTCATTACGGGGGGGCGCGGGAAGCCGTCTGGATGA